GTCAATAAATTAAAAAATATTTTGAAACATACATTATTATATAATTATTTCAAACTATTAAAAAAAAGTTCTAGTTAAAGAGTAAAAGGTCCAAGCAATAACATCTAATCTAGTTATACAGAAAGATTAAAAAATATTGTACTGTAATACCAGAAATTTGATGATTACAGGTCATTGAAGCAACTGAGATTAAACGCTTGTTGGAAAAGAGATTTAACCAAAGTAAACCCGTAGGATAAATTTAATCATCAATGCTTAATTTTTTATCAACTTGATCCTTAATTTTTAAAAATAAATTTTAGTTTAATTTTTTAGTCTAATTGATATGATCTTAACGAAAAATATTATTGAACTGTTAAATTTTACACAAAATTAATGTAACAACTCCTTTGACATTCCATGTGATGTGTATTTCTTACTAATATGATATAGTGTCATGTCAATAAATAATTTAAAAATTATAGAAAAATCCTTTAAAAAGGAAATTATCACAAAATAAATAGCGCAAGCTTCACTCCAATAAAATAATTATACGTTAACAATATTGTTGATGTAAACTATCAAATAGTATGTTCTTTCGTTATTACACATCTTCTTTTATCTTTATGGTACGTTTTTTTATTATTTGATTTTTATTTACGATTGTCATTTTTTTAAGATTAGATTTGATATCATCGGATTAATCAAGATGCGCTTATTTGTTATAATGTTGATCTTCTCTAATTTACAACACTGAATTAGATCTGGATTCACGATTTGCATTCGTGGATTGTATCTTCACGGTACTCAATTCTAATTTGTTGTTTGTCGGTGGTCTTTCAATAATTTTTATCATCTTTTGTGGTTCATTTGTTGATGCGGTCAGATATGTCCGTATCTACCTTTTGTAGTTTTTTTAACATTTTTTTTGTATGTTCATTTGTGATATTAAGTGGTTAGTTTTCTTATGTTGAGGAAAATATCCTTATTATGTGTTTAGTTTACGATTGTGATTGTAAACTTTTATTGTAATTTAAATACTTTTTATTTTTAATAAAATTAGCGATTTTTCTAAAAGAACTATAATAATCATTTATATTAAAATAACTCTAATTTTATAAAAAATAAAATAAAAATTATGATAAATTTAGTTTTAAAAAATAAGTCGCATCAAGTAAAAAATATAAACATTGAGGGTTAAGTTTAACATTATAACTTAAAATTCTGTTTGTAGGTAAAATTTTAAGTATAACGTTAAAATTTGTTTTTAACGTTTGATTGAGTAATAATTTTATCTCTTACTCTTTTTGGATGAAATTATTTTTTGATTAAAAGTTAACGTTTGTCGTTACAGAATCAAAATAGAATTGGTCTATGTTTGGTTATAGGTCATAATTTATGTCATAATCTATTTTATTAAAGGAAATAGGTCAATTCATATATATATATATATATACGATTCTACCTCGATGAGTTTAAATTTGTCCATATCCAACTCGGTCGTGTGAAAACATTGTTCATGCTCTCGTGAAATATATGCACAGTAAAATAAATCTCTTAAACAGATTTATCCTTTAAATAATATTTTTAGCTAAGTTCATTATGCTTTTCAATTCATTATTTTTAAATATTTATAAATCTAAATAAAGTCTGAGATTACTATTTCAGGTTGCTTGACTTAAATAACTATATATAATATCAATACCATACATAAAATCTTGTCTAAAATTAAAACCACTTGGTCTCATAATACACTGATATAATATAGGGTAAAGCACACAAATAGTCTCCTCACAATATGATAATTTGTTGAATTCGCGACTATTAAAAGTTACAAAATGATCTTCCGACTATAGGGCATTGCTTTGTTGAGTCTCCGACTATTAAAAGTTACAAAATGATCCTCTTACTATAAGGTGTTGCTTTGTTGAGTCCCTCGACTATTAAAAGTTACAAAATGATCACCCGACTATTCATATATCCCAAACACATCATTTTTCGTTAAAAGATTAACGATTGTCTAAGCTAGACATGAGCATGTTGGTTGAGATATGATAGTCGTTTGAGATTCTGGATAAGATTTTATCACTCCCCAATCAGCAAGTTGACATCTAGCTCAGACTATCGTCAATTTTTTAATGGTAAAAGATGAATTTGAAACATATGAATAATCGGGTTACCAATTTGTATATTTTAATAGTTGGGAGACTCGACAGAGCGATACCCTATAGTCTGGGGACCATTTGTATACTTTATCCTATAATATGCTAATATGTCTTTTATTTTTTGCTTAATACAAAAATAAGTGTCCAAACTATATTGTTTTTTTCATTTAGGTGTCTAAACTGTTTTTGGTCAATTCAGATGCCTAATGTTTACAACGTCACACTTTTAGGTGCCTGTAACACCCCGAAACCCGGGTTAGTAGTTCGGGTCAACCCGAGACCCAAAGATGAGCCCAAAGGACCTTATAAATTAATAGACCAAGTTTATTGTTTTTAGGCTTGAGTTATGGCCCAAGAGTTTTGGTGATTGGTTATGGGTGTTGTGTAAATTAGAAATTTGGGGGACTAAAAGTGTAGTTTACCCATGGTTAATTTTGAAAGCTGAAAACCCTCCCATATATTATGTTTTTACGTGAACCACTTCCCCTTATCTTCTCACCAAATGCTCTTCTTCTTTATTCCATAATTTCTTTCTTCCTTCTTCCATTCCAAGTGAGAGTTCAAGCATTTCAATCTAGTGTGGTGAAACTTAGGTAAGAATGTCAATCTTCATCCTCCAAGCTTTGTTTTAAGTTTTATTTCATTAGTTTTTATGCATAGAACCAAAAATGTGTCTTGAGAGATTTGTGGGAATCTATGGATTCTAGCTAAGTTTTGAGCTATAGGGAGTTTGTTTAGATGTTATTCAACCCCTAGATGGATTGGTAATCCATTTTCTCATTTTTTTTAATGAATGAGATAGGAGAAAGCTCAAGAGCTAAAGGAAAAGAAAAGTTGAATCTTGAGTGAGTTGAGAAAGTTTCTAGCCATCCAAGGAGCAAGGTAACACCTTTACAACTCTTTTATACTCTTAGTGAGTCATTAGAAGTTCAAGATAGTTTAAATGCTTGCGTTGAGCATGATAAGCATTTTCAATGTGAAATTATTTTTTTAGAGTTATAAATGTGTTTAAAGCCTCTATTATGACCCTTGTTGATCAAATAAAACTTAAAGCATGTTTTGGGACCTTACTAAGGTCTTTGGGATTGAAAATTAGAGTTTTTCAGATTTGTTTATGACTTATGCAGGTAGAGTATTGATACTATAGGGATAGTATCGATACTTGTTCTTCGTTTTGAGAAAATTCGTGAGTTTCTGGGCAATAGTATCAATACTATTTCGAGAGTATCGAAACTTTAGGTCATAGTTTCAAAACTCCCAGAAGCTTCGAAACTGGGCAGAACAAAATGTTTAAAAGTATCAGTATTTATATAAAGTATCGAAACTTTTGTAGGAGTATCGATACTCTTGGGCTAGTATCGATACTTTCAGTTTGTTTTGGGTAAAAATGTAAGTTTTTAAGGGAATTAGACTCGAAGTATCCTAACACTTCATTTTATCATCAAATAAGACTACAAGTGAGAGTATTAATGATATTAATATTACACTTAGAAACAAGATCAATTAGGATGACATAAAAATAACCTTGGATGATGCTTAGGAAACGATCAGGACACCCGAGCTCCTTTATAAAATGCTAGCATTATTGAAGTATAGATTCAATCCGGATATATCCTTAGGTAGTGCGCGAGGCACTTAAAGCTAATTAGCTTGGGCACAAGGTTCGACACTCAAGGAATGGGCTAGTCGAGGGGTTGACTGATGAAGAGATTCCAGGCAACCTGCCTCGGTAGACTAAAGGGGTGTGTGAGCTTCGAAATGCAGAACCTTCAGTCGCACCATGATGTCTACCATAGAGTAGAGAGTGTAGTATACGAGTATACTCACTATTGCAGTTATCAATTAGCTTGAACATGACACGAACACTTTTAGTATGGCTTAGTTGTTAGTATGGCACTAGGCTAGTTAACTCGGTGTTTAGAATTTGTTTCCTTATTCAAGTTAGTCAAGGAGTAGTCTGAGGACTTTTTGACAGCAGTGATCTAGACCCAGATATTGTAGAGTACGTCTCGAGTTTATCATTAGAGGGCATGTATAATTGTAAACCATGATTTGTATATTTTATATGAGTCATAACTCATTTTAAACTATGGTATGTATGATTTAAATATTATTTTGGGAGCTCCTGATGTAAACTATTTTATTTAAATTATAGTTGATTTATTTTAGCATGAGTGATTACAAATGGTCATTTTTAAAACGAAAAAATTTAAAAGAAAATTTTGGCTAACCACACTGATGGTTCCGTGTGACATTCTAATCGGTCGATTGTGTGTCGTACTGGTTTAGAGTGTTACAGTGTCTCTGTCGTAACGTACGTTAAATTTCGTCATTAAGTGACACGTGTCACGCTCATGTAATTTTAATTTTCTAAAAATATAAATTTTATAAAGGCGGCACGTATCATTTAACGATAAAATTTAACAGCGATAACGGTCAAAAGTATAACGTTAAAAATATTAGACACCTGAATTGATAGAAAAATAGTTAAGACACCTAAATGTAAAAAATGTATAATTTAGACCCTTAGTTTTATATTAGACCTTTATTTTAAAATTAAAAGTTATAATTGGAACGCATTATCATTTTTTGGAACAAAATTTGAACGCAGTCTTGTTGTTTTAAAAAATAATCATAAAAAGTTAAGATATAAGAAGGAAAGAAGCAACAATGAAGACAAGTGAGATAAACAGCCGCAATTTCCAGATCTAAACAACAGCAACAAAAAACCCCTTTGTCCCTTCTATCATCATTAAAGCTTCCAACGTTCTTATTTTTTTCGTAAACCGTTGGAGCCTAAAAATTTCCAACTTTAAAAACCAACCCTCTCTCATTTCCCATTCGTTTCTCCACCTTTCACATCTTTTTGTTGTTTCCCACTCTCCTTCGGGGGTTTTCTTTTTCGCCATGGATCGTTTCTGATCCCAAAATAATAAACCAAATTTTCTTTTGGTACTTTTACAATGGGGTGTTTCCTTGGGTGTTTCGGGATTTCTACTAAAAGAAAACGTCGAAAACCAGCCAACCGGATTCTTCCCGGACCTGCAGAATCAGTAAGTTTTCCATTTTTGGTGTGTTTTTGGATAATGTTTCAGTAAAGTTCTAGTTTTTTATATTTACTGGTTGTTATTGCAGAGACTTGTTAGCTATGAACCCTTGGATTCCTATGATTCTACAAAATCTCAGCTGAGGTCAGTTGGTTTTTTATGAAAGTGTTTCTCTAAATGAAACATTACAAGCGTATCTGATTTCTATGTTGATTGCAGTGGTAAAGCTGAGAGACAGAGTGCTAAAATCAGGAAGAAAGTGAGCTTTAACTTGAATGTTCAAACCTATGAGCCGATTACGGATGAAGAAACGACTACGTACCAGTTTTTACAGAGTGTTGAAGAGGAGAATGAAAAGAATGGAGGAGAAGTTGGAAAAGGGAGCTTACACTTTTTCTCCGATGGCGTTTTGAGTTCGTTGAAGACGAGTGTTTATCCCTATAATTATAGGTACCAGAACTGTAGTGACACCTATGATGAAGAAGATGAAATGATATTTGAGGAAAATGATTTAGAAGATGATGATGGCTATTTTGATGATGATGATGATGTTTGGGTTGATGATGGAAAAGATGTTGATGATCAATTTGAGTCTCTAAACATGGACTCAACAAAGAGAGATGATTCGATTCAATTGGATGAGAAGAATCAAATGTCACTTTGTGGTTCAACAGATGGAAATGCAAAGATCAGAAGCCAATATCTATATTCCGTGTTGAGTCCAATCGAAAACATGACTCAGTGGAATGAAATCAAAGCTAGAGCAGCCATCAAACCGAAGCAGACGAGGAAGGATAATGTTGCAGTAGAGGAAGAATCACAAATACCCATCGGTTCGAACCCGAGATCCAACTGCTCACCAAAATATAATCAGTCAAATCCCATTCTGCAAGACATAGCAGTCGGTGCTAGCCTCTCAAATTGGTTGATCTCACCGAATGTCCATACCCTGCTATCGAAGAAAAGCATATCAGCCAGATCATTCTCCAGGAGAAGTCAAGAAGATAGGGTGATCTCAAACATATCACCAACCTATAGTTTGCTAGAGTACAATGAAATTATTTAAGATACAAGGGGTGTGTATAAGTTTGGGGTACTGTTTGATTGTTAATTTGTTTGTATTTAAGTTTTTGATTCTTTGATTCATTTTAGAATGTTTCAAAGTTTGGTCATTTTGGCTCCGATTTGTTCATGTTGTACCATCTTGTATAAGGATTCGAACAATGTGGTGAAGTTGAACTATTTAATTTCAGGCTTCTCAAAGATGTAATATTCTCGCAATTTTTGTTGCCAGGAAAATAGCGATAAAAGTTTCACCTGCAAATGCAACAGTTAAGCTAAACAGCCTTTATCAGTAACCGATAACATTAGTTTAAGGTTCCAGTACACCCTAGTAATAGACAGAATGCATTACTCCGTGTCGAATTGAATATGAAAGATTTGTTATGCAAACAGTTATATTGCACATTCTATCATACACGTCTTCTGAAGAAGAGAGTTATGGTTCAATGATAGAAACGATTGTTCTGCATTAACAAAACAACTAGCAGCCGAGAGTTCATACAAGGGGCAAAAGGGGAAAATAGATCAATACATTATGAAAGAAAGATAACCATAATCTTTATCTGCTTTCATTTCCGAGACGTCCGTGAAATTCTTATCTGTTCACTCCGAAACGCATGTCAAACCACCTTAGAAATTCTCATCTGTTCATTTCTGAGACGTCCGTGAAATTCTCATCTCGCTCAACTTTTGGACCTTTTAATCTTATGTTGCTCCAACTCTTCCTTTTTCTTGAAGTACTCGTATCTAACACTTCCATTTGAGTTGAAGTAACATCGTTTTAATCGATTCTTCCAAAAGCATGTTGAAGCCAGGGAGGCTATCTGGTAGCAAAAAGGATCGATATTGCTCACTGGAGCCCAAAAATTGATCTGTCCAGCAGATAATTCCTGCTTGTGTCCTATATTTTATCTACATTATTATACAAATACAGGAATCTGAGTCCGAATCCTCGTCATCAGAATCGCTCGCATCACTGCAGACAAGGATAAGACATTAGGATGTCAAAGATACAATGGTGAACCAATGAGAAACACATTAGCAACTATTCAAGACCAAGTAAATCATATTACAAGGTCAGTTGTGATTTTCTTTATACCGATTAAATATGTGTTAAACCAAAGGCTCTACATTCACATTCTTGCAGATTTTACCATCGAATAAGGGAAGAAAGAAAAAACGATTATTTGCACAAACATATATTGGCAGGATCGTTCAAACTAAATCAAGAATATCAGTGAAGTTTATGGCGCAAAAAACCCTTATTTTGATCAAAGAAACTGAAAAAAAAAAATGGAATAAATCAAGCGTGCACATATTTTGAAATAGAATTAAAGTAATTTGTAGTTAATACGCCAAGAATACTCTAATCATGTTATCGGAGAAGATAATCCTTTGTACTTAAAGCAAAGTTCTTGATGATTTAAAATGGTTGGTGGATTTACTATATATAGTTAGATGCCAAATTGCCAATGCATTACAGGGAAAGAGAACATAAAAACACCATACTTTAGTTTCCTACGCATTCTATAGCTTATGACAACAAAAGCTTTGAAGAAATGTGCAAAAGCAATCCTAATACTACAAGAAAGTGCCCGAAAAACATGCCATAACGAAGGCCATTCGGCAAAATAAGATAGATTTGGAAACTTTTTCCTAAGATTGGCAAGGACCATTTACTCGGACCAGCTACAAATGAGTCCTTAGATTGTAGGAAAATGAAACAAGACAACAATTGAAAGCTTGACGTGATGAATACTAAACATGGTAATTGTCCACCAAAGCAATCCCTCCAATCCAAGTCATTTACATAGAAAACAAAAGGAGAAGACAGTACATTGCCTTTTAACTGAAGCATCTTTTTGTATGCCGCATAAAAGAAGTTATGTTCTTGGAATTATCATTTAGCTTAGACTGATATTCAACTCATCAAAGCCAAAGAGATGCACAAGAGCACTGGATTTGCAAATATAAGAGTTCAATACTGACAAAATCAGCTAAATGACAGATCTAAAGACTAAAAAACCAATGGCAAAAAGAAATAAAAAGTGCGGAAGAAAGTGCAATTACCTTGGTTCAAACACTATAATCTCTGCGAGTTTATTCCCATTTTTATCATTCCATTGTACTTTTCGATCAGTTCTTTCAGATTTTCTCAAAATCCCACCTTTCTTTGGCGGCAACAAAGTATTTGACTCACTGTAATTTTCTCCATCAGTGAGGCGTTCAACTTTGGGAGAATCTATGGTAGCTGAAGTCTCATTTTTATGTGCATTGACATCATTATGGACGGCATCCATTGACTGTTTACAGCTCCCAACAAAGCAAAATTGTGCTGAAAAAACCCTTTTCGAGTAAACCTAAAACAAAACAGCCTTCGGAATTGATGATTCAGATTAAAAAAAGGTGGATTTTTTATCTTCAATCATAAACCCTTTAAGCCAAATAGGTGGAAAAAAAAACATAGATAGTTGAGGAAAGCCATAAAGCTGTGTTAGACCGGGAATATAGGAAAATCCAATATACCCAGAAAGCAAAAACTGGTGAATCAAGGAAACCTGGTGTCCAAACTGGGATTAAATGGGTTTTAGAGTGGAAACCTTCAATCCCATAAAATTTCCAGAAGAAAGTCAACACTTTTTATTTTACACCATTAAAATGCATTCAATTTTCAAGAAGAAAACTACAAAAAGAAAAACACCCAACAAAACTTGAGAAATGAGATGAGATAGAAAGACGACTGAATCAGTCTATTATGTAGAAATTTAAAATATTATAAATTTTTTTTTAATAGCATGATATTGATTACAAATATATTTATTCATATTCTTAAAATTGATGAAGTATACACATCTGGTAAACGTAACTATTCAAACAAGACCACTAGAAAAAATAACATTCTATTTTACAATTGAAAAAATAATATTCTCTTTTACTATTTAGATCAATTGATGAATTCTTGTTAATATTACTTTTAAACTTATAAGAATGATATATATTTATAAATAAGGATAGATCGAAGGGATACAGATGTCGACAATCATCATTTAAAAATTTAAAATTATTATATATTTTAAATATTTTTTTAATTTTTTTTAAACTTGATTGTATGTCATATTTATTTATAAATTTATACTCTGATATTTTTTGTCGGCACCTCCAATCTTATATTGACAACTTTACATTTTCTTTTCATTGTTACGGAATGTTACATTTAATATGTCTATATCTCCCAGTAATAAATCAAACAAAAGTTGATGACAAGATAAGAGGCGCACGATAAGGAGCCGGCAGTGGAATTTTGTTCACAAAAAATAATTTTAAAAATGGATAATTAAAAATGATTTTAATATTTTATTGATTTTATAAAATTTTAATTGGTATAATAAAATATTTTAAAATATTTATAAATTATACTAAAATAATATATTTTTTGACTGATTAAAAATAATTTAAATCTTACAGTTATGTAATCAATTGATATAACATTTAACAAGTTATTATATCTATCTAAATTATACAAAATTAATGAAAAATATTATAACTAATTGACTCCATTTAAAGTCGTTTGTTATACAAATAATGATATTTAATTGAAAAATTGGTGGTTGGTGTAGGACAGAGATATTGATAGTGACATAAGAAGAAATAATTAGATGAAACTGTTGAACATAATATATATACGGTAAATTATGTGTTTAATATATAAATTATTTGGTTTGGTTTATTTCATCTGAACTTTTAATTTTATTCATTTTAATACATTGCATTGATATATATTTTTACAGGTAAATAGGAGTGAGAAGATAATTGAGTGATGAATAATGTAATTTACCGATAAAAAGGTGCCACGTGCAAACCATCTGTTAAATTTTTAACGACAAGATACTAAAACAAAACAAAAAAAATAAATGGTAGGTACGATTTGAAAGAAAATAAGTTTAGGTATTAAAATTGTTGAACCTTTTTGATATAACAAGTTTAAGGGTAAAATGTTTGTGGACTTAATTGAATTTACTCAAAGTTTTCAAAAATAATTCAAAGTCCATAATACTTGAATTTGAACACAAAACTGATTTTCTAGGTGAGTCGTATCGATACTGTTATTACAGTATCGATACCGCATGAACAATATCGATATTGTTCTTGCAGTATCGATACCAAAGGTAAGAGAGATATCAATACTCTCATGGCGGTACCGATATTGTCTTGTGTTTTCAAATGTGTTCAGATTCCAGTATGCAAAAATGATACCGATACTCGAAGGAGTATCGATACTACTGTATAGTAGTATCGATATCATTACATCAATATCGATACTTACTCAGCCCAACGGTAAAAACAACAAGCTTTAAGACAGTACCGATACTCATCACTCGAGTACCTATACACCCTGTATTGGGCAATTTATTTTTGAAAATTATCCCCAAAGGCTCCAAAACATCCTTGACGGCTAGAAACAGTCACAAACACTTTCAAATATATAAAAAGAAATTGAAGACACTTGAAGAAGGTTACACAACACCTATCCAAACATTGATCATCAAGAGAAAGTTTTTTCACTCTTTATCTTTCTTCTCATGTACACAGTGTTTTTGTGAGCTTAAATTGTAAACTCCTACCTTTTAGAGGTTTTGTGTTTACATTTCTTTATTATTTTCTAAAAGGGGTTTGGTTCTATAGCAATTGAAAAGATAGGGATTTGTAAAAGGTTACTCTTAAGCCTAGAAAAAGAAAAACAAATTAGTGAATTTGTTAGAAAATCCTTAGTGTGGTGCTAAGATAGTGGATGTAGACTTAATTGAGAAGTCGGACCACTCTAAATTCTTGTGCAAATTTCCTATCATTTCCTCCATAATCCCTAAATTTTTTATATGGCCAATTCACCCCTCTTGATAAATTTTCGGTTGATCGATAGAGCTACGAAAATCCCAACAAAAGATCAAAATTAATAGTTTATGTACTAAATGTGTAATTTTCTCTTATATATTTCAGCTAATGATTGTTCGTTTCAATTATAGGGAGTGAATCATGTAGGTTCATGTAAATTTAGCAATAATATTACAAAAATGAGTTCTAATAATACATCATGGCTATCTAAATTATGAGAAGTTTTGGTTCGACATAATATTTAGTGATTAACTTTTATGCATCAAATCTTGTTGTCCTTCATATCTGGATTGGA